CTATTCTATTCTTCTGTTATTATTTGTCCACTTTATTCCTTCATTCCACTGTCTGCCCCGTTCACTGAGGCCTCTCTACCACTGTTACTGGAATCCTGGTATTTTTTCCTCTCTCTGGAATGTCCTTCAGTATTTTTTGTAGGGTTGGGTTTGTGGCCATGAACTCCCACAGTTCCTCCTTGTCTTGGAAATATCTTGTTTCTCCATTACTTTTGAGAGAGTTTTGCCGAACCCCAGCACTTTGTAAGGTTGAGGCAAGAGGATTTCAAATTTGGGCCCAGCCCAGGCAATTTAATGATTTAATGAGATCCTGGTTCAAAACAAAACAAAAAATAGGATGCGGATGTAGCTGAGTGTGAAAGCATCAAGTTCAATCTCCAGTCCTGGGGGTGGGGAAGGTTTTCCATCCTCACATAAAATCCATAAAACCTGTTGTGATGAAACGTGAACTCCAAAAGGTTTGGGTAGCCATCACCCGACAGCAATTCCAGTAGTGTAGCCTTCACAGCCTCGCTCTTGGGCTGGCTTTGTGTACTCCTTGCAGTGAGTGAAAAACAATAAAATTCATGTTGGTTATATAGTGAGATATCTCTACAACATACGGTCTTTTTTTTTTTTTTAAATGTTGGGGATTAAACTCACAACCTCGTGTTTGCCAAGCAGGCACGTACGCAGCAGAGCTAAGCCCCTGGTCCCTAACACATGGTCTTTTAAAGAGACTAATTTTTTCTTAGTATGTTTTCTAAGTATGTTTTGTCTTCCTCCTAAACTGTATACTGTCTCAGGCTGTCAGGATTTAGGAGAGAAAGTGGCAACTCTGGAGAGGAGTTGGCTTCATTCTGGCAACACCCTGCTGCTTCTGTGAAGTTATGAACCCTTCGGAAATAGAGCTGTTATCTCCCAGCCTTCCATTTGAAAGGCCAGGGTGCACACAAAGTAATTAGTGACGTACACTTTCAGGCTATAATATTAGACAGCACTGAGCCATGAAGGAACCCAAAGATCCTTTGGGGGTGCATCTAGATATAAACCATAACTAATGTTCCTGACAGGTTAATTCTATACACATGTCTTTCCTTGGGTAGGTGGTAGGTGGCAGCAACAGATCAGAAATGGTGCTTCACTTAACTAATCAGCACCGGAAAGGTTCTTTAATGCTATTATTTTGTTAATTTAAAAAGTGGTATAGCTTCAAATCAAATACATATGAAAAAAATGAATAGAATATAACTAATTACAGAATATAGGTTACTCAATCTTTTATCCTATAATCTTTCAGGTGCAGCTTATTTTTCAAAGGCTCTATGTTCAGTTCCCTAGCTATTCTTAGTGTTTATTTAATTAGTTAGTTGGTATATGTGTAGTTCTGGGGGTTGGCCCCAGGTCCTTGCCAGGCAAGTGCTCTACATGGCACTGTACCTTTTCCCTAGTACTGAGAATATTAATGTTTCATTATTGACAAATGGGGTGGCATATTCGAACTTTCTTTTTGCTTAATTTTTTATCTATTTCTATTGTCAAGATTTTGTTCTCCGTTATTGAATTGGTCAAGGTTTATTTAGAAAAATAATCATTTATGCACTTTAAACTAGATTGAACAGTAGGTATTAAGTGGCTTATGGAGTTCCTGGGAGGGTTACCAAAGAGGCTCTGGGTCACTTGCTCTCAGCCTTAGCTTCACGTCACAAGTATCTGAATTGTGTTTTGATACTATCTGTTCTGGAAGCCACTGCAGACATGTCACATCTAAACTGTGGTTATATGTGTTCATATTACTGGTCAGCTGATGAGAATGTGCAGCCAGGACTCAGGGCCACTTTGGTGGTAAAGATCAGCACTTCAGAACTAGTCCCTCAAGGGAGCTATTGATTTTTCTGAAATCTGCTGAACTGGAAGCTATTGCCATCATCTGAGACTGGCACATCTGGAAAGCTGCCCCTTCAGACCTGCCCATGCTTGCTGATGCTAACTAATAAAATGAGGGTCCTATGCCCTGCCTTTTGGTGCCTCCAGAAACGACAGAAAAACTGAAGTCCTTCACCACTACGCCAGTCACAGAACCCCACAGGAGGCTTCAGCCTCACTCACGCCTCCTTCTGTGTCTCACGTGTTTATTTTATTGCTGAGATTAACACATATGAGACCTTATTGCAAGAATGCCTAGGGATTGTAGCTTTATCATTCCAGTCCTACGAAACTGAAGACAAGCTATAAAGAGATTGGAATGGATGCGTGCGCCAGTCCCCTGTTCCACTAAGGACATTACAAAACAGATGAGTCATTTTAAAGATGTCACAGTAATGCAGACCTAGGGTAAGCACCTATGCCTGTGTTCTGTGTGTGTGTGTGTGTGTGTGTGTGTGTGTGTGTGTGTGTGTGGTGTGTGTGCGTGTGTGTGTGCATATATGTACTTAGCAGGAGTCATAGGAACGCTTCCTCCAGACAAACCTCTTGCTTCCATAGGAAAAGCAACCCTGAGAGGAGCTGAAGACCCTGGCTGGGGGCCGCAGGGGGAGAAGAGCTTGTGCTGCCTCTTTTTTGCCTGAGTTGGTGTCTGCTCTGTTTACCCTCCGGTGTCTCTATGCTACACCTCAGAGCCTAGCTTTGCATTTATCACAGCCCTTATATTCAAGCTGTGGCGTCCGTGATTAGTTTCAACTTTACCCGTTCCTTATGGAATACAAGAAGCATATTTCAGCCGGGTGTGATGGCTCATGCCTGTAATCCCAGCACTCGGGAGGCTGAGGTGGAAGGATTGTTGCGAGTTCGAGACCAACCTTGGCTACAAAGTGAGCTCAAGGCCAAGCTGAACTGCATAGCAAGACCCCGTCTCAAAAAAGACAAAAAAAAAAAAAAAAAAAAAAGCATACTTCATGTATTCCAAAGCACTCATTGCTAAACCTAATCATATTTTTGTCCTGCTTTTTCACATCTAGATATAATGTTATGTACTTTATATTATTTTTCTTCTGGAAATGAACTGTTTATGTGACATATTTTCTTCATTAATGCAAATATATTTGATTATTTGTTTGTACTTCTTTATATCAGTTAAGATCTGTTTCAGTGCTCTCAAAGTCAGCTATTTTTATCCTGTCTTTGCCTGAGCATGACATAGAAGTAGACTAAAAATTTAAATTATGTGCCCATATATTGAAGTAGTAATTCTGCTCATGCAATACAGTGAGAAATTATTTTAAAATATTGTTATGCCAGGAATGGTGGCACATACCTGTAATCCCAGCAATTGGGAGGCTGAGGCAGGAGGATTGTCCTATGTTGGAGGCCAACTTGGGCTACATAGTGAGTTCAAGGCTAGCCTGAAGTATGTAGCAAGACCATGTCTCAAAAAAAATATGTATATGTTTGTGTGTTATAAAAAGTATATAATAGGATGTTAAAATGAACTTTTACATAATTAATGAACAATATTGATAACTTTTTTAAATTGTTTTTTGTTTGTTTTGAGTCAGGATCTCACTATATGTTCAAGCTGGCCTTTGGCTCACTTTGTAGCCCAGGCTGGTCTTGAACTCACAACAATCCTCCTGCCTCAGCCTCCCAATTGCTGGGATTACAGGCAAATGCCACCATATTCAGCTACCCTTTTAGTCACCAAATGGCTAAATTTCTAGGGCTAGGCTAATTTGTGATCATTCTGCTTCAGCCTCCCAGAGTGCAGGGATTGCCACCATACACCACCATGCCTGGGTACTGTGTCTCCATGTGACAGGAGAGATACAAGAACCAAATCTAACCCATTAAGTCACTTTTGTTGGTTTCTTTTGGTAGTGGTGGGGACTGAACCCAGGGCCTCATGCGTACTAGGCAAATGCTCTGCTACTGAGAGTACCCCGCTGAACTACTTCAGTTTTTACCTTACATTCTCTCTCCCTTTTTTTTTTTTTTTTTTTTTTTTTTTTTTTTTGTTACTGGGGATCGAACTCACAACTGCCGCTGAGCTAAATCGCCGGCCCCTTACATTCTTTTTCTATTCCAGGATTCCATTCAAGACATTATCTTATATTTAATCACTGTGTCTTAAATACTTCTCAGGTTCTTTTTGTTTTTGATAGCTTTTCCAACTTTGATGTTCAATAGGCATTTTACAGACTGAGAATAAATTATTTTTAGTTTCATTTTAAAACTTTATGTAAAAATTCCAACACACAGAGTTAGAAAATAATAAATGAATACCCAAATAGTCACAACTCAGCTTATATAATTGTTGCTAATTTGCAAATTTCATTCTATCTAAACTGTTCCATCCCTTATTCCTGAGGATTTTGAAGCAAGTCCCAGGTACGTCCCAGTCGCTTATGTATTTCAGTGTAGATCTCTAATAGAAAAAGCCCTTTAAAAATTTGCCCACAATGCTATTATTACATGTAACAGTGTTAATAATAATTTTGTAATATTTAATAAGTCACCTTGCATTCCAATTTTCTTGAAACTCCAAGGGTTTCAAAAGTTATTCTGTTAATATATTTAGATCAAGATTCAAACAAGACGTGTTTATTGATTTCTGCTGGCTTGAATAAGGATTTTTGTCTGTTCAGTCTAGATCCTAAGCTGAACAGTATTTCGAGCGCTGGCGCCACATGCGTCTGGCGTCTCAGACCGGCTCTCAGCTTCGTAGCTCACAGTCCCTCTGCCTACACCACAGGTTCGCTTTGGAGGGGTGGCTGCTAGGTGTGGCTTTCCCCTCCAGCCACCAGACCTCAGAGATAGACCCAGGGCGTGGTACGTATTCCTGCAGCGGGGAAGCAGTGATAGCTGAGCCCTAACTGAGGAACACAGAAAGGAAAGGCTGTGGGTGGAGAGGCCTGACTGTTGCCTGCCACGTAGAGCCCAAAGGCAGCGGGATTCAGAGCAGGCTGTGGCTTCCACCAGTGGCAAGGTAGAGCCAGGAGGCTCCACAATTAGATAAGACAGGGAGGTCACAGTGTGTAGCAGGCCCTACTCAGATGGCCTTCTTGCTGAGGACTAGTCTCTCTCAGCAGGAAGAAGCTGGATGGTCGCATTTCATACAGAAACTGGGACGGATCAGTGCAGAACACAGGCATCGTCTATCAAGGGGACCAGCAGTCAGCAGTTCGGCGGAGTGAAGAAGCCCTTCTGTGCCTCCCTCCGCAAAAACAGCAACAACAACGAAAATGCAAAAGAATTAACCTACCAGTATTTGTAAATCCCAGACAATCCGAATAGTATCTATTTCTTTCGCGTCTCAGTTAGGTAGAGGGAAATGAAGGAGAAAGGAGGAATCAGCACCTTCTTCCCTCCCTGAGCCTAAATACTACTGTGCTGTGAGTGGGGAGGAATGTTTAAAATTAAATTGGATTATGATAAAGCCAAATTGATTCAAACCTGGGACAGAATCTCCTCTGGGTAGGAAATATGCTCTCCTGATAAAATGCGTAAGCAGTTTTCTGATCCACTGTAATAAAATGAAACTTCTGGAAAGCTAGCTACTTACTTGCTTATGGTGGTACATATCTGTAATCCCTGGGAAGCTGAGGCAGGAGGATCACAAGTGTGAGCACAGTCTGGGCAGTACAAATACCGCAGGTTCAATTTCCAGTGCTGCAAAGACAAATACATTTTTTTTTTAATTTAGGGGAAGAAATGTTGATGAAGTAATTTTGGTTGTCCCTGAAATCAGTTGTATCTTAATATAAAGTTTGTGAGGAATCACTCTTAACTGACCCTTTGTGGCGATAAATTAGATTTACAGGTGATACCTCCTCAGTTCAAATGTCATTTGGACAAAGAAACTATAGTTTTTCCACGCCATGTTGGAACTTAGGACGCTGGGAAACCAAGCGAACAGCTCCCCTCCCTGGTAAGTGGCTGTGGTGTGACAGGCTGCGGCCACCCCAGGGGGAGAACCACCAGTCTCTCCTGAGATCTGCACCATGTTGGAACTTAGGACACTGGGAAACCAAGCAACCAGCTGGTAAGCAACAGTGAGCCTACTGGTGCACGGCCTAGAGTCAAACATCCCACTTCCCCTGCCCGCTCTTAGCAAATGGGAACCAGAGATCTGAGCATCTCTTGGGAGGTTGACCATATGCAATATAGCACATAAGGGGGATTTCCTTCTACCATCTCTTTGAAGGCAAATATTTTTACTAATGTTTTGCTTTATTCTGATTAATGGTATTGCTCTATTCAATATTCTGTTTTGATAAGTTCTATAATGTTCTGTATTTCATTTTATTTTGATATATGTGATTGAAAGAACAACCATTGTGACGATAACGAGATATACTGTGGTACCTATTACTGTTATTCTGGTAACCTGCTGTGAAGTTCTGTACCAGTGTCACTATACTGTCTCACTTGGATTTGTTCTGTCTTGTTCTGTGGTATTTTACTACCTTCAAAATAAAAAAATAAAAATAAAAAAAGAAACTATAGTTTCTGTTCATCTTTATTTCCCAGATTTTAGTGCCTGGTCATCTTTTACACCCATATTATATTTTTCACCATATTATATCATATTTTTACACCATATTATAGGCAGAATTTTTCTTTTCCATGATTATCATAAACATGTTCCAACATCATAAGTAGCTTTAAAGGGTTCAAGGAAGAGAATAATTTCACTAGGGTTTAATGTCAACCACAGTAATACAGAACTTAGCTATTTAAAGCCTATTGCTATAAATAACAGATGAAATGTGGTAAGCACTTGCAAAAGCAACCTAGCAGGATGTGGGAAGATTTGGAGTAGCAGGAGTATTCCAGATAAAGTGGATAAAAGAGCAAAGGCTTTTTGTTTTGAGCTCTCTGTTTAGATTGCAGAATTACTGAGTGGTCAGGCCATAAAATGTAATCATACAGCGTATGCAAAGAGCCTACATACATTTATTTGTTCACATGAAAAGTAAAAAACTCAGCCAAGTGTGGGAATCTCAGCCCTTGAGAGGCTGAGGAAGGAGGATATAGAGTTCGAGGCCAGCCTGAGATACATAGTGAGTTCAAGGCCAGCAAGATTTTAGAAAGACTCTGTCTCAAAGAACAAAAAAAATCCCAAATCATATAATCATATACACACAGTGTTGGTAGTAGTATATTTAAGTTGGTACAGCCTTTGGAAAAACAACTTGGCATTTACATGAAGAGCATAGGTCCAGTTGAGTATGGTGGCCCAAGCCTGTAATTCCAGCTACTCAGGGGGCTGAGGCATGAGGGTGGCAAATTGGAAGCAGTCTGGGATAGAAGCAAGACCCTCTCAAGAAACCAAAAAAATAAATGCTTACATAGGAGTATGTTTGAAGTATTCTAGCTTCTAGTTTTAAAAAATATGGGGAGGAAGTACACACATGCATGAATGTTTCATTCACTTTGAATGGTAGTGGAAAATAAGCAGCAGCCTGGAAGTGTAAAAACAAGGACTAGCAGGCAAGTTTACAGCTATGTGCACTTAATGTCATGAAATTATTAAAATATTCACTGGAACGATTACAAAGTAGAAAAGAACAAAGGTCGAATTCATGGTGTAATATATAGTTTTTTTAATTTATTTTTTTTTTACCGGTACCAGGGATCGAACTCGCGACTGCCTGCTTGCAAGGCAGGCGCTTATGCCACTGAGCTAAATCCCCAGCCCCCAGTTTTTTTAATTTATTAAAGAAACATTGTCATTAGTCCCTCTCCAAAGGTTCTCCTTCACTTTGAACACACATCCATTATCCTTGCCACTTTCTGAAGCAGATCTGGAAGTCTCATGCGTCTTTCCAAGCCCTTACCAAAAACACGGCGAATGCCACTGCTGAGTGCCACCCAACAGAATGGCAGCCTAGGAAAGTAAAACGTGTCTCTGTCAACCTCATTCACCAAATCTGGTAACTGTGTGACTTCTGGCTTACCCCCTAAGTCAAAATGGCCATGAAAGGCAAACTTTTTGAAGAAATGCAGGACATGGAAATAGCCATTAAAAATAAATAAATAAATAAATAGTATATAGAGAGAAAAGGATGGAGAAGAAGAAAGAGAAGAAATACAAAAATGGTAATAGTATTAGGATTATGGACAATTTTCTCCCTTGTATGTTGAAAAATTTCTCTAGATATTATTTAAAATTTGTTTCAATATTAGAGCATTTGTTTAAAATTTCTAAAGTCTTAGAAACACAAGTTACTGGCTATCCGTGCTAAAATGGTACATAAAATTTTCCCTTTGCTAATATTCTGCTGTTGGAGAAATGAGGCAGAGAAGATTGGATGATAGGAACAGCTATTTTGGAGAAAATGACGTCTTAATAGGTAATACTGATTTAGTATCATCTTGTTTTGAAGTCTCATCTAGCTTTTGTCCTTCTGTCTCCAATGGTCTAAACAGGTTGTATCTTATTGGATTTTATTATGTATGATAGTATAAACAAAAACTTTTAAAGACAAGGAGATTATACAGAAACCATTGTTAATTTTCTGTTAGTTGATTTTAAATACCCTGTAATGCTGTCATTCTCTTAAATGGTTTTACATTGTTTTGATATATTTGATACTACAGTATATGAAGTTATACTCAAAGATTTTAAGGAAAGAGACAATATGGTAACTACTTTTATGTCAGGATTATCTTGTGGTGAAACACTATTCTGCTTAAATGGTTATGTTTTGATCTGCGCTGTTTTGCTGTCATGCCCTCTTTTATCTCAATCTCCACTTCATTATTTACTTTTTTATCCTTTTAATTAAGGGAAAAATAAATAAAAAATAGCAGGATATATTATAGTAACCCACTTTGACTTTCCATTATCTTGATTTAAAGCCCTGTATTACTCTCACCATCTTGTTTTTGACTGATGTCCCCCTATTCTATTTTGCTTGATAGTACCAGGTTCGAAAGTTTAGGCAACAGCTGTGAAGATAGATTCATTATGACGCCCATTCTCGTTGACTATTATCTACTTTTGAAGACCTATAATGTCTCCAATGTTTTGGTTTTGTCGGTTTTGTTCTTTACTGTTTTGTTCAATTTTATTATAACTGATGATATAGGCAATTCTATTAGAGATAGCGGGAGGCATTATGGTAACCATTGTTGATCACCTTGTATTATGCTTTTACATTATCTATTATGTCCACCCTTTTGATTTGATTGACTCTGTTGTTATGTCACAGGGGTTCTACTCCCTTCCAAAAAAGTAATAAGAACTGTGGGAGCAACAAAACCCAAAATGTGTTAATTGTCATTGTACAAAAGAGAGGAAAAGAAAGTGCTCTAAATGATATAACTGCATGTATATTTAAGTGTATAAGATAGATAATGATATCACTGAGTTTTGTTGGATCATTGAACAGAACTGTTTGCAGTCTCACTGTTGGAATGTCCATTTTACAAGCTTTAATTTTGTAACTTGAACAATTATTTCTAAGATGACAATATGTAATCCATTAACTAGTGATTTCCTACTGTTTATTTTTTTCTGTAAATCTGTATAACTTGTACCCTTTCTCTGCTTTTTTTTCTCCTCAAATAAAATTAAAAAGAATATTCTGCTGTTGGCAGACACAGTAAATTTTTTTAGCTAAGCAAATGTCAATTGTTGCTATGGCACTTCTAAAGTGCAATAAAGCTACATAACAATTGGCAGGAGTACTCTTGGGTAAACATGGAAAAAAGATAAGGCTTAAGAAAAGGAAAACATTGATCTCCATCAGTGATTTGGAAGGAACAGTACTCGTGGGGGAAACAAATAACTAGGGCGAAATCTCTAAGTATGCAAAGGCAACTGAGCAGGATACGGGAGTAGCAGGAGTATTCCAGACAAAGTGGATCTAAAGCAAAGCTGTTATTTTTTTTTTAATTCTGTATGCAAACTGAAAATAACTGAGTATTGCAACTATAGGTTACCTATAAGATTCAAGTAATAACGGGTTAGGAGAGGCTGAGACCTTAGATTTGATTTTGACTGCAACAGAAAGGCTCTCAAGATATTTGAGAATGACTTAAAATGTTGATTCCATTAGGCTGCATAAAACGACCTGGGAGATGAGTGAAGGGCCATTACGATGCTTACACAATAAACCAAGTGCTTCATTAAGGTAAACTATCCAGACTAGCATCCCTAGAATCTATTTTACTTTAAAAATATGAATTCACATTCTAACCAAGCTTTGGATGATTTTTGATGTTTGCTGACAGAAATGGCACCTAATAGTGAATCAGGTTGCAGTAAATTAATTTTAAATTAAGTGGCCTGCAAAGGAAAATGTAGAAGTATTGAGGCCAACAAACAGAGAAATGCAAATTCTTGCACATAAAAGGATTTGGAATTCCAGGAGGCAGAAGATTATTAAATGCTGTATCCAGACCCTTTGGAGTGATAGGTTGTTACAATTTAAGTCTAAACTTCTCAGGAAGTAAAATTCTCTAAGTAAATTGCCTTATCTGTCTAGGCAATTAAGATGTTTCTGAACAATAATCAAGACTACAAAACAGTAGGACTTAACACCAGACTCAAGATGATTAGAATTTTTTTTCCTTGTTTCCACTGGCATAAGAATTCAGATTTTAAAAATATCTCGTCCCAGAAAATATCACAATCTACTTAAGAGTAGCATACAGGTCCAAAGCTCTTCTCAGTTTAAAAGGTTGCCCTCATCTTGTATCAAAACCTCCAGAAGACTGAGCAGTTACCTGATAACTGACCTACGCTTTTCATTTCCAAAGCAAATGTTGGATGGGAGGTGAAGGGTTGAAAGTGAGAAGATATTACTGATAAAAGGGTACAAAATTTGTCAGCATAAATACTTAGGATGTATTGTAAAGCGTTGTGATCCTAGTTTTAAAAAACGATAGCTGCTTAGCCACAAGTGGTGGCGTGTCATCTGGAGGATAAGAGATCAGCCTGGGCTACCGAGTTCAAGGCAAGCCTGCACTACAAAGCGTGAGAGCTTGCTCCCCAAAAAAGCCCATACGTGAAAATCGCTAACTCTGGGGGAAGTGGGGGTACGTGTGATGATGAGTACGTTAATTAGCTTGATTTCTCCACAAGATAGAGCGGTATTAAAACATCACCTCGTACACCACATACACAAGGGCGCCGCGTCAATCCACTTTTTTTGACAAGGCTGCGCGCTGGGCCCGCAGGCAGCGGCAGGGCGGGACTCGGTTCCCGGGGCGGCAGCCGCGGGGCCCCGCTGAGACCCGGGAGCGCCCAGCGCCCGCTGCCCGGAGCCAGCGCGTCGGCCCCGCGTCCCCGGCTGCCCTCGCTCCCCGCCAGTCTCATTTGCCGCCTTGCGACGCGTGACCCGGGCGCGGCGTGCGCCCCGCGGTGCCATGTGCCTCCTGCCGCCGTCGGCCGCCGCCGCGCCCCGGCTCCTCCGCAGAGCGCTCGCCGCCGCCATGTCTGCCGCCGCCCAGCTCAAGTCGGTGGACTACGAGGTGTTCGGGAGAGTGCAGGGTAGGGTCCTCCTAAGGCTGGAGACCGAGAAGGTGCAGGGGAGGAAGGAAGAGAACGGGGGGCGGGGGGAGCGCCTCCCATTGTGAGGACGCCCTTCCCGGGTGGGGTGGGGCCGGCACTTCCGCTTGGCCATGACGCAGCGCTTTCGGGAGCGAAGAAGGCGTAGCGCGCCTGCGCGGGAGGGCAGGTGGGAGGGCCTGCTGGTTGGGGGAGGGCGGGGCGGGGCGGGGGGCGCGCCCCGGGGGAGGGGAGGTTGGGGTGGGTGGAGGGAGAGCGACCTTGGTGTTCGGGTCCTGTTATTTGCCACCACTGAAACTACTGGGGCTTCATTTTAATTTTAGGAAGAACACCTAAATGGTACTCCAGGTTTCACCTTGAGGTTATACTCTTCTCCGATCCGTGGCTCTAAAAATAATAATTTAAATTTTGCTTTATAGATTTAGATAGGTGCAAAAGATGTAATGTCTGGCTTATTGTAAATACTGACACTGATAAATCACCTTGTGAAATTTGTTCAGTGTTACAGAATGAACTGACATAATGTCCACATAATGTCCAGCTTCATTTTAAAATAAAGCTCTTAACATGGAGAAATTTGACATCATTCCTTTTCATCTTAGAATTTTATTTTCATTTCACCTCCCCCAAGGAATGTTATTCCGTGTTGTTCTTGAGAGCTTCCTCTGCTCCTCCTGTTATACTTTTTTTTTTGAGACAGAGTCACACTGTGCAGTTCAGGCTGGCCTTGAAGCTCACTTTGTAGCCCAGACTGGTCCCAACAATCCTCCCACCTCAGCCTCTGGAATGCTGGGATTACAGGCGTGAGCCACCGCGCCCACGCTCCTGTTACACTTTTATGCAGTATGTGAGCGCGTGTGTGTGTGTGTGTGTGTGTGTGTGTGTGTGTGTGTGTATATGAAATATTTTTTCTTAATTTCCTCTCACAATAAGGCTCTAAATATTAATTATTCTCTTCTGGCTTATGTTACTGTTGCCAATTATGAGAACATAGCTGATGAAAACAATACAAATATATTTTAAAAGTAAATTTGGTAAACCATTACTAAATTTAAAAGTAAGTTTATATTAGAAATTTATTTCGTAATGAAAAATGGGGATATTTGTGGAACCTGAATGAAAAGAAGGACTGAATTATCCTATCTTGGCACTCTAGAGGTTTTACATTTATTAGGTCTTTTGTAAAAAGCTTTTCTTTCAAAGATTGTGAAAAAAGAGCTAGAAAGGAGAACCGTGACAATCAGGTCTCAGGTCAGTTTTAGGAAAGAGTCCGTATGGAAGCTAAGGATCTAGAAATTGATTCTCTTAAAAATTTCTGTGGGTTTGTACCAAGTGGAAAGTCTCTGGGTGTACTTTGGGTGTGGTACTTTGGTATGAAAACCACCACAATATAAGACAGCAAAAATATGAAAATGATGGCTCAATATAAGACATATAAAAATGATGGCAAAGATTACCTAAGCAAATATTTGGCCCGTTGTCTATAGAGATGGCAGTAGTTAGGGTGTGTGTGCATGAATGTGTTTATCGGTGCACATGCAGGAAATTTCCCGAGGCTGTTATGTGTGCTGAGTATATATTACTGTTACTACTTAATTCATATCACAATTTTGTGAGATATATCTTATTTCTATTTTCACAGGCAGAAAAATAGGTACAGAGAGGTTCTGTAACTTGGATAAGCCTTTACACATATATTATATGACATTTTCAGCTAATGCACTACATATTTTTAATGATTTTTGACTAAGTCATCAAAAATACAATTTTTACTTCAACAATAAAAAATGGACAGTAATTAAAGACAGTATTGTGAACTAGGTGTGGTAGCACAATCCTGTGAGGCCAGCACTCTGAGAAGCTGAGATTGGGGGATCAGCTTGAGCTTTGCCTGAGCAAATAAGAGAATTAGCAAGATTGTCTCAGAATTCATAAAAAAGTGCTGGGGTTGTAGATCAGTGTAAAGACTTGGGTTCAATTCCTAGGGGGGGAGGGAAGGATGATGAGGGAGGGAGAGGGAGGGAGGGAGGGAGAGAGAGAGAGAGAGAGAGAGAGAGAGAGAGAGAGAATTGTAAAATTAAATTCTAATTTAAAAGTGTAGCATAATAAGACCTTAGTGAAAACTGACTTGTTAGAAGAAATGGCTGTGAAAATGAACTCACAATGGAAGAAGATATAATTGAGAACATGTAATATGTACACATTATGGATTGATAAAGAAAATTGGCATTAAAATATTAAATGAAAAACATTTAATGACAGAAATGAACACAGGAAAAAAAGACAGTAAATAATTCAACTTTCCTTTTTGACCAATGAGTTAAACTGGCTTACTGAATGTTAACACAAAAAACATTTCCCAACCAAAGATAATATGGGTTTTATTTCTATTTAAAATGTTCAAATTTTAAAATTCCTTGGTGACAAATGGCACTTAAAGTGTTCTAGGAGTTAAATACACTATCCTATTTGCTCGGTAAAACAGCAGCATCATTTACAATGATGTTGAATTCTGAGAATTAATTTGTTAGTGTTTGAAATTCAGGAAAATAAAGTTATAGAAGCAGTATTACAAATGGTGGGTCAGGTTCTCAGACCCGCCTGCAGAGTCCAGGTGCAGAGCCTTGGGCAGCCGCTGCCTTCCACGTCTTCTGTACTTCCTGTGCTTTAAATTTTTGTTTGTTTTAGGATAGATGTAGGTTTACAGAAAAAGTTGAGGAGATGGTATGGTGAGCACACGGGTGCTGTGAGAAAAGTTTGGTGCCTTATTTTTAACAAAAGTACACAATTTATTCATAACTCCTTAGTTTTTACCTAACAGTTTTTTTTGGGTGGGGAGGGTGAGTATCTGGAATCGAATTCAGGACTTTGCATCCGCCAGCAGCTATTGCACTACTGAGCTTGGCCTGGCTTTGGCAGTTTTAAAGAGTACTTTGTGGACTGCTCCCCAGTTGGAATTTTTCTGATATTCTTGACAGGGTCAGATTGGGTTTATGTGTCATTTAGAGGTAAGGAGGTAAAGTGTGACTCTCATCACACCATAGCAATGGTGCACATTTTCAGTTTGATTTACTGTTGGTGTTGACCATGCTCACCTGGCTGACACAGTGTTTGTGGGGTTTCTGCACTCTAAATACAACCTTTATCTCTCCTTTTCCATTCTTTTTTTTTTTGTCACCCCCTCCCCCCCACTGGGGATGAACTCCTGACCGCCTGCTTGCAAGGCAGGTGCTTAATGCCCTTGAGCTAAATCCCCAGCCCCTCCTTTTCCATTCTTAACTTTTAAAGATCTCCACCTTCTCAAGAGACTGTATTCCCTGTCCCATCAACTCATCTTGCCCTGGGGGCTTTTGGCTGAGTTAATGGAACAAGTAACTGGGTCTCTGTGAGAGCATTTGAGACCGTGGCCTGGTCTGTGATGTTTCTGTGGATATTTAGTTATATTTACAACTAGAATATAATCTGAAAATTCAAAAGAGAAACTGTGTATAGCTGTGTATAACTCTCAGCTGAATACTACTTGCACTCCCAGAAATACACTGTGGTAACTTGGTGGCTTGTAATGACCTAGAAAGTCAGTAGTTTGTCTTGGCAGTATTAACTCAGGTTTGGAATAGCCTTTTTTTTTTTTAATATATATATATAAAGTGAGATTTATTAGTGGGTAAGGAAGCAGAAAGACAGATGGCGACAGTAGCATCTTGATAGGAGAAAATGGACTGCTAAGTATGCAAAAATACAAGCAGGTAGTTCAGAAGGCTTCTGCTTAGTACAGTAGCCCAGGTTTCTAGAAAGTAATAATTCAGTATAAATCTTTTTTAAAAATTTTATTTAAAAGGAAAAAGAGAGAAAACAAAACAAAACAGAGCGGTGTAAGGGTACAAGTAATATAGAACTACAAAAAAAAAAAAACCAGATATCACCAGTTAATAGATTACATATTATCATCTTAGAGTTAGTTGCTCAAGTCACAGTATCAAAGCATACAAAGTGGACATTCAAACAGTGAGACCGCAAACAGTTGTGTTCAATGATCCAACCAAACACATTAATATGGTCAGCTATTTAACACCCCTAAACACACTTGCTATTGTATCCTTTAGAGCACTTTTTTTCCCTCTCTTTTTTACAACAAAATTTACACATTTTGGGTTTTATTACTCCTTGGTTCTTATTACTTTTTTTTTTTGGGAGAATAAAGTCAAATATGGCAAAACAAAGCTGTCAGTCAAAACCAAGAATAGACATACCACATGACGTAAAAACAGACTACAAGGTTATCAACAATGGTTACTATGTCTCTTGTTTCCTTAAAAAGAATTGTCTATCTCATTAGGTATTATAAAGTTGAACAAAACTGTAGGGAACAAGACCAATAAAACTTAAGCATTGTAAACATTACAGGACTTCCAAAGGAGACAGTAGTCAAACCAGAATGGGCATCTTAGTGAATCTTATTGCCTTCAAAGTAGTTGCCTATACCCTCAAACTTGATACTATCATACAGAATGGAACAGAGTCTAATCAGTCAAAACAAGATAGTGGGTATTACAGGACTTCAAAACAAGTTAATAGGAAATCAAAAAAAGTTACTATTATATATCCTGCTAATTTTTAAAATTTTCCCCTTAATTAAAAAAAAACAAAAAATAACTAAATAATTTTTTTAATGAATAAGGGAGAGATTGAGATAAAAGAGGACATAACAATATTACAATAGAGGTCAAAGCATGACTGTTTCAGCAACCTAGTGCTTCACCACCAAATAACCCGACCTTAATAGTAGTTACCATAGTGTCTGTCTTTTTCCTTGAAATATTTGAATAAAACTTCATATACTATAACTTCAAATATTTCCATATCAAGAAGCCCAGAATAAAGCCTTTCCAATTAATAAGTGAAAACTTTATAAGGCTTCAAGGCCACATAATGGGGAATCATGATTATCACATATTTTTATATATTTGAATCATTACTTACGT